GGTGGGAATAAGAGCAGTGTACATAAGAAAGTGTCATAATGAACCCACTATTTCAGATGGTAACTTAAAAATCAAAAGAAAGAAAGAAAGAAAGAAAGAGAGAAAGAGAGAAAGAAAGGAAATTAAGTCAAGAGAATCATTAAGCAGGGTGGTGGCGCACGCCTTTAATCCCAGCACTCGGGAGGCAGAGGCAGGTGGATCTCTGTGAGTTCGAGGCCAGCCTGGTCTACAGAGGTAGTTCCAGGACAGGCTCCAAAGCCACAGAGAAACCCTGTCTCAAAAAACCAAAAAAGAAAGAAAAGAAGAAAAAAGAGAAAGAACCGTTAAGGTAACATATTCCTTGGTATATGTGCGTTCTCTGCAAATGCATGGCGTAGCTTTCATCTTCGCCAAGATTTTAGTGGCGCTAGCATGGCACAGACAAGGCCGCTGTGAGCAGTAACTTCCCACAGTCCCCGGGTGGAAGTGTTAAAAGGCTACAGTTTTCCATATAGAGCTCCCCCACAGCAGCCAAAGGAAGCTGTTTCAATTGCTCTTCAGAGACAATTGTACCTAATTAGAAATGGCAACAGGAGCAGGCTGTTACCTTGAACCACTTAGTACAGGAAGTCTACCGGACTTGAAGCTGCCATCCAGCGAGGAGGGTACAAATGACTGGAAGAACCATCCCTGAGAGCCAACCGCCCCACCCCAGATGTCCAACTTTTCCCAGCTACCCTTCAGATGACAATGTCCTGGACACCCAAACGGGAAGGGCCCAGCTGAAGAGCTTGCTGTCCCTCACCCTCCACAACTGAGGGGTAATAATTGTTTTATCAACTAGGCGTCAAGGAAATTTGCTAGGCAACCACAGATATGACAAATAGATTAAGTCATTTCATTGTCACGATAACCCAAAGAGTTGCTGTCAGTCTCTTCTAAAATAAGGAGAGTCAGGCTGCGGTGGAGCGCGCCTTTGATCCCAGCACTTGGGAGGCAGAGGCAGGTGGATCAACCTGAGCTCTACCTTGGGAGACCGTCATTAAAAAATAAAAAATAAAATGGGGAGACTGGAGGCTAGGGATAGTGGGATGGCTCAGCAGGTGGACTGTGCAAACCTGGAAACCTAAGATCCATCCCCAGAACTCACCAACGAGGAAGGAGAAAACTTGGACTGACTTCAGGGCTGTCCTCTAACCACATCACTCCTCAGCACACAGATACATGCATACTCAGTAATAAATGAATGTTCAGAATGAGATTCGAAGCTGTACAAGCTAGGCCAAGAGCTAGGCAGAGCTCTAGGTATGAAGGCAGACAGGAAACACAGGCCAAGCAGCTCGGTTCTGTGGTCTCTTAGGTCACATACACTGGGCTGAGACATGCGTGACTCCTGGGCAAAAACACGGCTAGCTTGACAAATATTGACACGCTTAGACAGGAGAGCTAGAAATGTGCAGAGTCATATAAATACGTCTGCATGTAGGCTGGCAGGGAGGGAGGGGAATGAAGCCAAACAAGGCTGAAAGTCTGTCCAGTAAGAGTGGAGGTTGGATAAGCGTGTGCCCGCGGATGGGACGCAGAGTGGAGCAGTGCCAAAGCGTCACAGTGGCAAGGATGTCTGAGTGACATTCTGAGGTCCACAGGAGGAATTCTCTAAGTGAAGGGGAAGAAGCACCCCAGTGATGGCTCCAGAGGAGCTGGGTTCCAAACAGGGGTTTAGGACTGTTTTGTACAGGTATCAGTCTAAAGCAGGCCTTGGATATAGTTGGCAGAATGCTTGCCTAAAGTGCTCAGAGGCCTGGGGTGGGGAGGGTAGAGTCCCAGCACCACACTCAATAGGCACTATAGGGTATCTCTGGAACGCCAGCACTCTGGAGGTGGGGGCAGGGGGATCGGTTCAGAGTCACCCTTGGCAACCTAGTGAGTTCAAGGCCGACCAAGACAACATGATAGCCTACCTAAAAAAATAAAAATTAAGAAGAAAAAGGTGAGAAGCAGCTCAGAAGGAGTTTGTAGGAATCTGGCTCATCTCGTAGGACTCACAGGGACACTGAGGTTGACCCTGACTTTCTGACTGAGCCCCACACTGAATGTTCTCCAGTTTTCTGGCTAGTAGGGAGAAAAATGGTCACCGACCGTTTCTGATGTTGGATACTGCAACATCTAAACAGAAATAAACTGACGGGCAGTCCCAAGGTGAAATTTCTAGAATGGACTGGTGAATGGCCTGGCCAGTTGGGGTTTGCCCTAAGGCCGTCATCCTCAATGAATCCATGGACAAATAGGCAGTGTTCACCTTTCAGGAGAGAAGGGATTCGGGGTAAGGGAGTAAAATTAGTAGAAAGCCAAGTGGTGGTGGTGCACACCGTTAATCCCAGTGCTTGGGAGGTAGGGGTAGATGGATCTCTGTGAGTTCAGGGCCAGCCTGGTCTACAAAAGCTAGTTCCAGGACAGGAACCGAAAGCTACGGAGAAACCCTGTATCGAAAAAAAAAAAAAGAGAGAAAAAAGTGTAAGTAGCTGTGACAGCCTCACAAGAGCATTTGTGAATACCGTAAATGGGTAACAAATGCGATCACCTAACAGAGTAACGACATCATCACACTTAGGCTGGGAATTCTGTGGCAATGAAGGGTATGTGGGGATGAGGTCACAGTGACAGCTGATTTACTGTGATAGCCTAGAAGACAAAGTTTTAACTTGAGATGCTGGCAGAGTGCACATACACCTATAATCCCAGTGCTGGCGAGGTGGAGGCAGGAAGATCAGAATTCAAAGGTCGTCCTCCTCTACACAGTGTGAGCCAGCCTGGGATGCGCGTCTGTCTCAAAACTGAATGGGTGAATGGATAGACTAATAAAAGTCCAAAAGGTCCCTGTGCCCCAACACAATACACTTAACCCCTGTGACAAAAGTCCTACTTACCTTTGGTGAGATGCTTTCTGAAAGCATCTCTTGCCTACAAAGAGACTGAACTTTTGCTAGTCCTCGTAGTCAAGTTAATAATCTGCCTGGAGGCCATTTAAGACTATGTGTTTCATCCGCTGTCCTACTGTGTGCTCAGCTTGTTTAACCTGCCTTTAAGAGAACAATGTAACCAATCTTTTTTTTTTTAAGATTTATCTATTATATGCACAGTGTTCTGCCTGTATGTATGCCTGCATGCCCAAAGAGAGCACCAGATCTCATTACAGATGGTTGTAAGCCATGTAGTTGTTGGGAATTGAACTCAGGACCTCTAGAAGAGCAGCCAGTGCTCTTAACCTTAAGCCATCTCTCCAGTCCAATGTAACCAATCTTAATATGCTTTGGATTTCCCATGCAATCAGTTTTTACAACCTAAGCTAAATGCATAGTTCTACTCTTAAAAAAAATTATGTACTTTTCCATGAGCCAGAATACTGTGTGTGTGTGTGTGTGTGTGTGTGTGTGTGTACCATTTATTGAAAATCCACCATAAATACTGGAAACAACACGTGATATCGGTTGATAACGTGTGAGGTTTTGAGTGTTATTTTGAGTCAGTTGAGGTCAGCAGTTTCTTTCCAGGTAAACCTGCTGAAAAGTTCTGTAAAGAAGCCCTCATTTTTGTCTGGAGAGATGGCTCAGCAGTTAAGAGCACTGGCTGCTCTACCAGAGGACTTGGGTTCAACTCTCAGCACCCACATGATAGCTCACAACTGTCTATAACTCCAGTTCCAGGGGATCTGACACCTTCACACCAATGCACATAAAACCAAAAAAAAAAAAAAGCCCTCATTTCTTTCCCATACTATGTTTCCTGTGCTATTAAATAAATACAGAGCAAAGCCCTTCGCTAGGGACAGGCATAACACACAGGCAACACAGGGCAGGCAATGGGGGCAGATCGGACACACAACACACAAGCTACAGACAGGTCAGAAATCACAAACTACAGAGGGAAGACATGGGGAGAGAAGTGGGGAATTCACATTTAGGCTCCCTGTTGGTCAAACTGTCCCGAGAGGAAGTCTGATTTGTTCCTTCATGTGACATCCATGCACTGACCTGTCACTTATTGTATGTTTGTGTGTGTCACTGTATGCCGTGTGTATGCAGGTGCCTGTGGAGCCCAGAAGAGGGTATCGTATCACCTGGAGCTGTGTTATAGGTGGTTACCAGGCCAGCATGGATCCTCTAAAGAACAAGCACCCTTGTCCACGGAGCCATCTCCCCAGGCCCTTACCTACACTTAAAGCCCTTCAAAGACAGTCCTGTTTGTGTAACTCCACAGCCTGCCGCCGCTGCAGCACAGAGTAAGAACTTGGTAAGCAACGAATAGACAAGATCATTTCAATAAATCAAATGAATTGGTATGTGTCAGCTCTAGAAAACCTAGAACATGGCCAATTAATGACCCAGAAGACTCAAGTCCCTAGTCCCCACGTTGGGTGCCCGAGGCACCTGTAACTACCTATAACCACAGCTGCAGGTGATCTGACACCGTCTGCTGCTGCACACACACCTGCAGACCCAGCGTCTGATGAAGCCAGCTCTCCCTGGATGCACTTCAGCAGCAGGTGATCTGACACCCAGCGTCTGATGAAGCCAGCTCTCCCTGGATGCAGTTCAGCATCTGACTTAGGTAATGCAGCTGGCCAGCGAGAAGCAGTAGCCCCTGAAAAGTCACCAGAGGGGCTGAGGGACAGTCTTGTGCCTGAGACACACTCTTCTTTTTCCTGCTGTAGTACCTGTGTGCACCCTGCAAACACACTCCGGCCATTTCCAGAGCACGTGCTGTCTGCACTAAGGACTCTCGAGAACCCTTACACTTTAGACTTAGGATTGGTTTCTCTTCATGTACACCAACTGCACTGGTTGAGAATACCTAATCTAAAAATTCCCAATCCAAAATCTGAAAGTTTCTAGATGAAATAAATATCAGATTTTGGATTTTCAAATTAAGGAACTGCAGGGTATATCTGTTTTCTAAAAAACCACAGCAGACAGGGGAGGAGGTGAGGTATGCTCTTTAATTTTATATGCAACCCGGAAAACAAAGGAACCAAAACACCGTTTCTTCGTGGCAAAGATGATTTTATTGTACTTCGAGGGAGAAACGAAAGAGTGACACCTGTTTCATAACAAAACTACCGAGCCTGCTGAGGAAAGGTGAAGAACAACTCTGCCAATCACGCGGTTTGCAGCCAACCACAACAGAGCCGGAAGTAGTTCGCTTTGGTGTTCTCAGATAAAGGTTTTTCTAAAACATCTGATACTTCCAATTAAGTGTCAGTTAAAATAAATTCACAGATATACAAAATGTATGATTTGTGCTTAAAAAATTAGTAACTAGAGGTCAGCTCACCACCATCTGGACGCAGGTCAACAGTCAGTGAAGTGCCTTCCAACACCCTGGGCTACATCTAAGGCCTAATCTTCCTCTCCTCGTAAGTATCTTTTAAAAATAAGAAACTAAAAACTTAAAGTAGTAGGTCGTTACAAATGAGATACAAATGTTTTAATTAATAAATACTAAAGTGGAAAAATAATGCTTTTCACAGAATTGTAAAGAAAGTTCACTAACTCCTTACAAAAAGAAACAGTCTACTACTTTAAAAAGAGAAATAATTATTAATAGTGCTGAAGAAACGATCCCGAGAACAGTAGGAAGAAGGCACGCACCCAGAAAGCCTCTCTGTTCCCCAGCTGTACAGTGTTGAAAACAATGAACAGACGCCCTTCTGTAAGCACGGCTACGGCCCAGCTACTGCGCCCATTATGTCTCACTAGAAAAACGGTTCCCGAGTCAGCATTAATTTGGCTAAATCTTTAATTATAGCATGATCAGGAAAACTGTAGTAGGCTAGGTCTAGAGACACAAGGCTTTAATCCCAAGCGGCTGGAGGATGAGGCAAGGGGATATCTGTAAGTCGGAGGCCAACCTGGTCCCAGGCCAGTCAGGCCTACAAAGTGAGACCCTGTATTTAAAAAGAGAAAAAGAAAAATCTCTCTAGATGCAAGTAAAGCCAACTTGGCCCTAGTATTTAAAACTGGACAACCATTTGTAAAAGTTTTACTTTCACTTAGCTTACTAAATAGAAAATTTTGCTTTTGTAACTGAATTTTCCAACTGGGACCTTCAGAATAATAAAACAAAAATCTGAAACTAGGTCAGAGTACCCTTGTTTCCCACATTCTGAAAACACTTAAGTAAAATCTATTTTGCCTTAATTTCCTCTAAAACTGCCCAGGGCTGGAAGCTGTCAGAACGAGGATATGCACACTTAGGCTGAACGCGGCTTACACAGCATTCCGCAAAGAGCTCCATATGGAAATGTGCTGTGTTCCTTGTGCAAAGTCTTAAATTTAAACTAAAAGTGCTTAGGGCAAAAAAAAAATAAAATAAAATAAACTATTTCTTTCACCACTGAGGGACAGTTAAGATATTTTTCAAGCCGGGAGGTGATGGTTATACCTTTAATCCCAGCACCCGGGAGGCAGAGACAGGTGGATCTCAGTGAGTTTGAAGCCAGCTTGGTCTACAGAGGAAGCTCCAGAACAGGCTCCAAAGCTACAGAGAAACCCTGTCTTGAAAAACCAAAGAAAAAAAAATTAATTCATTTTGTCCAAAGGAACAGTTTGTGGACATAAAACACAAACATTTAAAAAAACTAACCCAACGCTACTATGGCAGGAATCCACATAGACTCGGGAACTAGAGGCGTGCCTTCAGAGCTCTGGCAGAACGGATGCTGACTGAATCCAGCCCTGAGTCACCCAACTCACCACGAGTGGAGGACAGGGGCACCAGGAACCAGCTTTGCAACTATCTGATATTTTAATTAAAAGTCATGGCTAAAATAAATTCCCATTACAACTGTCTGAATTCTTTTGACTAGTTTTTTTAGTACTTAGATGCCACAGTACAATAAAAAGCACCTCGATAACTCGCTACGATAGCTCCGCGCAGTAAGTGTGCGCTACACGGCATTTCTTTCCCAGTCCAGGAACACGGCGTGGGCGCCACACTGAGCCTTGAGGTCCCATCATGCTCACGGGAGGCCTGGGACTGGAAAGAAGACCTGGTCGTCCCGTCTTTGCTTCCTTTTCCATCCCAGCTGTAAATTGGCCTTCTCCTTGAATGGTCACAGTGACAAACTTAGTAAGAGGATGAAAATACAAAAGGCAGCGCAACAACGGAACCAGTGGGATGAGCCATGATATTGAAGAGTTACTCTTACACATGTAATTACACTACTTCAGACTCAGTCAGACCCGTGAGGGGCATACCTGTGACTCAGCACCAGCATGGCACCGCGGGCTTTGTTTCAGGTTTCAGGATAACTCTGTTATCAGGTGGCTGACTAAGCATCAATGGCTTGTGGCTCTTCAGCTTATGAGCCAACGTCATAAATATAGCTTCTACGTGGTCATTATCATTGGGGTTTTTGGCGGAGGTCTCGAACAAAGGCATACTGTGTGTGTCAGCAAACTTCTGTGCCAAGTCTGTGGGCACCTGGATGGCGCTTCTCAAGTCACATTTATTCCCAACCAGGATGCGAGGTATGTCACTTGCCAGCAAGTGCTGCTTGCATTCCTCGATCCAAGATGGCAGGCTGTGGAAGCTGGCCATGTTGGTCATGTCGTAGACAAAGACGACAGCGTGCACGTTCCTGTAGTAGTGCTGAACCATGCTCTTCCTGAACCGCTCTTGTCCTGCAGTGTCCCACAGCTGGATCTGCAGCGCGGGAAACAGAAAGCAAGGTCGACATGTTCAGTCCAATGACAGCAGCCTAGCCACGTCTACCTGCCCCGAACACTCTGCCGCTTGGGAGCTCGGCTTTTCTGTGGGGTCTAGACTGCATGATCCTAGGATAGTCACCATGTGATTACTAAATATCATTTTAAAATCTGAACAGGTAAAGTCTTAATAATTATTTTGTAAAGAAGATTGAAGGAAAAAGATACAGCACATAAACCATCAGAATATTCATAGCCTAGAGCTATGAAAGGCTAGCGCTGAGTCAAACGTACTGAATGAGTGGTTTTTAATGTTTATCCTGCATGTACACACATGCACATATGCAGGTGCACACACACCATGATGAGTGCACACAGGTCAGGTCAACTCAGGAGCTGGCTCTCCACTGACACTTTGGGGTTCAGGGATCAAGTGCCTCTGGCCATTGGGCCATCCATCTAGCCCTCAGTTCTGACTTTTAAGTCTGTCAGCTCTTTAAATCCAAACTTCTTCATTTTATCCTGTTTTTCTTTCTTTTTTCCTCTCCTTTTCTTCTCTTGGAGACAGGGTCTTTTACTGTGTACTCCTGGATGTCCTGGAGCTCTCTATGTAGACAGGGCTGGCCTCAAACTCACAGAGATCCACCTACCTCTGACTCCCAAATTCTGGGATTAGAAGAAGCAATTACCAGCATGCCCAGACTCTCCAGTTTCTTAACAGTCATCCTTTGACTAATATAAGCCTAATTTTATCCAGAGTAGAAATGTAATGTACTTACAAGTCTTGATTTCTCTGATTTTCTTGGTACTTAGGGGGACCCAGTAGCAGAATTTGAGCCAATACCATGCAGCCAGCCTTCCTGGGAAGAAGGCATTCCAGGAAAGCAGCTGTCTTTGAGATTGAAAAAAGAGGGTCTGGGGAGATAATAAAGTGTTGCTGCATGTGATAGTTTGAATGTATCTGGCCCTCATAAGCTAATAGGGAGTTGCACTATAAGGAGTTGTGGCTTTGTTGAGGTGGGTATGGCCTTACTGGAGGAAGTGTGACTCTGTGGGAACGGGCTTTTGAGGTTTCCTATGCTCAGGATCCTGCCCGGTGTCACCGGCCACTTCCCGTTGCCTTCTGATCAAGATATAGCCAGCACCATGTCTGCCTGCACACCGCCATGCTCCCTGCCATGATAATGGGCTGAAATCTCTGAACTGTAAACCACCACCTCAATTAAATGTTTTCCTTGTAAGAGTCGCCATGGTCATAGTGTCTCTTCACGGCAACAGAAACCTCAGCTATGACCCTGCAAATATGAGAACCTGAATTCTGTCTCCAATACTCTCAGCCAGGGGCAGCAGTCATACTTAGAACCCCAGCAATGGATCTCTGAGGTGTGCAGGCCAGCCAGACTAGCTGGACCATTCAGTTGCCAGTGAGAAACCCTGTCCCCAAAACTAAGGAAGACAACAGCAATTAAGGAAGAACTCTAGCCTCCATTCATGCCTGCACACACAGGAGCACACACGATCATGAACATACACAGTAGAGCATTTAAAACATGCCATGTGTCACAGCTCACACTGCCCCTTGGCTGCCTGACAACAGGCATTTTTGTTTTTGTTTTAGTTTTTGGTTTTTTGAGACAGGGTTTCTCTGTGTAGCTTTGGAGCCTGTACTGAAACTCACTCTGTAGACCAGGCTGTCCTCAGACTCACAGAGATCCTCCTGCCTCTGCCTCTGAGAGCTGGGATTAAAGGTGTGTGCCACCACTGCCCAGCAACAACAGGTATTTTGTAAGAATAAAATTAGCCTCACAAGGAAAGCACAATACAGAGCTAAGGGGCTGGAGAGATGGCTCAGAGGTTAAGAGCGTTGCCTGCTCTTCCAAAGGTCCTGAGTTCAATTCCCAGCAACCACATGGTGGCTCACAACCATCTGTAATGAGGTCTGGTGCCCTCTTCTGGCCTGCAGGCATACACGCAGACAGAATATTGTATACATAATAAATAAATATTTAAAAAAAAAAGAAAAAAAGAAAAACCCTGTCTTGAAAAACAAAAAGCAAACAAACAAAAAAAAAATAAGATTACAATACAGAGCTAAGGGTAAGTTTGGCATCCTACCAACAACTGGGGATATCACATGACTGCTACCTCTGGTTTTATTCTTTTTTGAATGTTTCTAAAATTTTAAGATTTTATTTATGTGTATTTATGTTTTTTGCCTGCATGGATGCCTGTGTACTGCGGGTGTGCACAGGATCCTCTAAAACTGGACAGTTGCCAGTCACTGTCCTGGGAACCAAACATGGATCCTTTGGAAGAGCAGCCAGTGCTCTCACCTGCTAAGCCATTTTTCCAGCCTCTAGATGTCATTTTTATATGACAAGATAAGACCTTTTACAGGTTCAACACCACTGCTGAATTTCCCTTGACATTGATAATGCTGTCAAGTTATCTACTACACTACCTTATTTAAAAGTTACCTACTTTGTTTACTCGGGAAATCCCACAATTCTGAATTTGTCAGATAAGATACTAATAAACCCTCAAAAGTATCTGAATTCTATCCTGGCATGGCAGTGCACACCTTTCATCCCAGCAGAGGCAAGTGGACCTTTGTGAGTTCCAGGACAGCCAGAGCTACATAGTGAGACCATGTCTCAAATATAGGTATCTGAATCCTATATTCAGGGGCTGGCAAGATGGCTCAAGCAGGTAAAGGTGCTTGTCTGATGACCTTAGTTCAATCCCAGGACCCACACTGTGGAAGGAGAAAACCAGATCCTGCAAACTATCCTCTGACTTCTACATGCTCACACTCACACTCACTTCACACATGTGCACACGCACACACACAGACACTAAGTATATGTAATTTAAAATTAAAGCATCTAAAAGTAAACACAAGCCAAAGTTCAACCAGATGTGTTGCTGTCTGTGTCCTAGTCCTGTTACTCGGGAGACTAGGACAGGCGCATCTAGAGTTTGAGACAAGCGTGGGCAACTGAGCAATACCCTGCCCTTAAATTTAAAGATTCATAGGCTGGAGAGCTGGCTCGGCAGATAAGAGCATTTCCTGCACTGTAGAGAACCACGTCTGGGTCATGGCACCCATAGGTTGGCTCACAATGGTGTGTAACTCTAGTTCCGGGAACCCAACATTCTCTTTTGCCATCATCGTGGGCACCAGGCACACACATGGTGTAGAAACACTCAGACACATAAAACAAATGAAAGCTTTCTTTAAAATCCTAAAAGTAGATGTTCTATCTCACTCTCATGACCTCTGTCCCTAGAGTTATTATCTCCAGGTACCACGACCTGCCTTGGTGGGCCTTCTTCATCAACGAAAACCAGCTACTGAAACCATGGCTTTAGGATTTTGTTCTTTGTCACCTTCATTAGCTTTCTTTGCCACTTGGCTGTGAGAATTCCAGGGTAACCTACCAACTGTCCTGTTTGCACAACTGCACACCTAGGCCCTGAGCTCCTACCCCTACTATAGGGATTACCAGACCTAGACCCCACTCTAACAGGGAAGATGGATATATAATACAATAAGATGGTCCTGGTCTGACGGAGGGCTAAGGGGATTTTCACTGAAGGAAGTAGAATGGCTGGGATTCTAAGGAGAAGTTCAACAACAATCCTGCAGGGAAATACAGGAAGGAAAGATATTCCAAGCAAACAGTGAGAAACCAGCAAATGACTCGGCTGAACTATAGGGTGACTGAAGGAAGCAGCATGGCCTAACAAAGAATGGCTTGTGGTGCTGGGTGGTGGTGGCGCACGCCTTTGATCCCAGCACTTGGGAGGCAGAGTCTGGTGGATCTCTGTGAGTTCAAGGCCAGCCTGGTCTACAGAGTGAGTTTCAGTACAGGCTCCAAAGCTACAAAGAGAAACCCTGTCTCGGAAAAAAAACAAACAAAAAAGGAATGGCTTGTGTTAGCTGTTTTTAAACGAGATCAACTGAGCTGCTACCAAAGTTCAAAGTCAGGTCTGAATTCCCCCCCCCCCCCCCCCCCCCCCCCCCCCCCCCCCCGGTGCTGAGGATGAAACCCACTGTCCCGAATGTGCCAGACAAGGGCTCCACCACTGAGCTTTGCAGATCTCTATCCCCTCGAAGGGACGCTTGGAAGAAATACTGCAGTGGGGTTTTGACGAGAGGAGTAACATGAAAAATTGCAGTAGGAAGCTAGTTGGATCTAGGGAGTAAAAGATAAAGATTGTATCAGGATGACCTGGTAGATTCTGAATTTCATGTAATTTTCACTTATCATGAAATCTCATTCTTCTTCTCTCCAACCATACAAAGACATGGCTGAGGTATAGCTGAGTGACAAGAGTGCTGGCTTGTGAACCGTGCAATGAAGAAGCCCTGTGCTCATCCTCAGCACAGAGAAAATACAAAACTCATCCTTAGATTGCATGTCACCTAAAACAGGAAGCAGAGCATTTGACTGTCACAGTTTGCTACTCCTCACACTGGACTAGCATTCTTTGTGCTTAATATACTGATTTATGGGAAGGAGATACAGTGATTGTTTTTCCTTAGTTAATATTAACATCTTGCTCTCTTCTCCCGCTATAAACAAGAAAGCCACTGACATATTTAAGTACTGACTGCTAATCCCTGACTGAAGACTGGATTAAATCTCAAAATGTCAGATTTTACTGAAGCCCCCGCCAGGGCAAAATGACTGTTGAGAGAGGAACCCAGCTAGACAGTCAAAGAGGAGCATATGGAGGAAGACTGAGACAGCGATCTGAAAGCCAAATGCATTTTTATTTAAGGAATTCATTTGTATTCAGCTGCCAAAATTCTCGAACGAGATTTTCCTCTTTCAAGTTTATGTATACAGCACTCAGAAATCAATCAGCAAGCACAGACCCTCAGGGTTTTGCTTCCTTTCTTTTGTATGTGTATGTTTAGAAAGGCCCTCACTATGTAGCTCGGGCTGGCCTGGAGTTAAAAAGGAGACTCTTTAAAGCTACAGGACTGTTGGTGGCCGTGGACCCACAGTTCAGCTGCCGAGCGACACAGACTGAGTGAGGAGTCTTTGGACAGATCTGCAAGTGCTGGGATTAAAGGTGTGCTATCATGTCTGCCTCAGTTTTGTGGGTTTTTTTTTTGGGGGGGGGGGACAAGGGGGTCTGCAATTCACTAAGTAGTCAGGCTAGCCTTGAATTTAATAAGGCCATCCTCCTGGCTCAGCTTCATATTACGTAGCTCTGGCAGGCCTCTAACTCACATAGATCTACCTATCTCTGCTTCAGCAGTGCTGAGAATAAAGGCAGGTGCCACCACACCCAGCTTAAGGAAAGGTTTTAAAAAGATTTAATACCCACAGGGATGAGGACAGATCTTAGTCCACAGAATGCTTGCCCATCATACACACATTGAAAGCCCTGGATTCAATCCCCAGTGCTGCATAAACCACAGGGGCGTGTATGTAATCCCAACACCCACAAGGTAAAGTCAGGAGGTTCACAAGTTCAAGGTTAGGAAGGGAGATGAGGCCCTGTCTCAAAAAACACAGCAGTAAAGAGCAACTGAGGGAGGCGTCTAACCAACGTCCAGCCTACACACACACACACACACACACACACACACACACACACACACACAGAGTTCAAGGTCATCCTTGAATATATATATAGACTTTGAAGTCAGCTTTTGGGTACGTGAGACCCTTTGTTTTGAAAAAGGCATACAGTGTTGGAGAGATGGCTCAGTGGTTAAGAATACTGGCTGCTCTCCCCAGGACCAGGGTTTGATTCCCAGCATCCACATGCTGGCTTAAAACCATGTGTAATTCCAGTTCCAGGAGAACACAATGCCTCTGTGGGCACTGCATACACATAGTACAAAGACATACATGCAGGCAGCACCAGTACACATAATATAAGAAATATTTTTTAAGTGCCAGGGATGTAGCTTAGTTGTGGAAGTGGTAGAGTCTGGATCTACACCTACACCACCACTACCACACCAGTACATACTTCTCCAGCAGACGAGACTAAGGTGAGCTGTCAGATGCACTGAACAGGTGGACAGATGGAGAGAGATAAAGTGTGTGTGTGTGTGTGTGTGTGTGTGTGTGTGTGTGTGTGTGTGTGTGTAATAACTGAGCATGTTACCACGCTCACCCATGATAGTTCAGGGCTAACAAGACTGACTTTATCACTGAGCAAATGTTCACAAATGCTAACTGTGTGCTCCTTATTCTAGAATGACCCTGACCATAAAATTATTTTCATTGCTACTTCATAACTGTGATTTTGCTACTGTTAAGAATTATAACACGAATATCTGTGTTTTCTGATGTCTTCAACAACTGCCGTGAAAGGGTCGTTTGACACCCCCCCAAAGGAGTTGTGACCCACAGGTTAAGAAACACTGCATGGGGGCTGGAGAGATGGCTCAGTGGTTAAGAGCATTGCCTGCTCTTCCAAAGGTCCTGAGTTCAATTCCCGGCAACCACATGGTGGCTCACAACCATCTGTAATGAGGTCTGGTGCCCTCTTCTGGCCTGCAGACATACACACAGACAGGATATTGTACACATAATAAAGAAAAATATAAAAAAAAAGGCTCTCAAAATCAAAGATAGATAAATATAAAAAATAATTTTTAAAAAAACACAGAAAAGAAAAACAAAAAGCGTGACAGGCCACATACTTTAGTCTGTTTTCTGTTGCTGGATAATTTAGAGAATGGAGACCTATTTGGTTCACACCTGATGGATGGCGAGAGCCACACTCCCAATAACCCCTTAATCCATAAATGAGATTAATCCACTAATTTATGAATGAACTAATCCCTTAACCAGTCAACAGATTAGTCTAATTAATCTGTGAAGGGATTAACTCATTCATAAATCCAAAGGACCCGATCACCTCCCAAATGTCCCGCCTCCAAGTTCCATTAGCTCAGGAACTTGGGAATTAAGTTTCCAACACATGAACTTGGAAGACAATTTCAAGCCACACCATAGCCCGACACTTTTCATAGGCTCACACTTTGCACCTGGGTTAGCTGAGCTCCAAAGCTTGCGTAACTCTTCCCACAACTGCTTACCCAGACTAAACGTGCACACACCAGAAGCCTCGTTCTTTTCTGCTGCCACCGGTTTCTGTACCTAACCAAGTTTTGATGATAAAAAAAACAAAACAAAACACCTTCTACTCATCTAGCTCTTCTTGCCATGCCCATGCACACAGTCTCTTCCCCCAGCTTCTGCTAGGGATCACACACTGTGTCTTGCGCACCCTATTAAGCACCCTATCGCCGAACTACACCCTACTCCCATACATCTTCCTTTACATACAAGGTACACAAACGACCAACTACCAACAGCCTGAACAAGACGATCAGTTGGGAAAGTGCTTGCCAAGCTAAATTTGGACCCTCAGCACTTGCGATCCCAGCCCAAGGAAAGCAGAAACAGGAGGATCTCTGGAGCTTGCTAGTCAAATAGTCTCATGGAATCAGGGAGCTGCAGATTCACTGGGAGACTGCCTCAAAAACGCAAGATGGAGAGCAAATTCGGAAGACTGACATGAACATACAGAGTCTAGACTCACCCCCACTGCACACATGTGCACCCACACACATAAGATAGATGGAAACAGAAAGCAGAGGGGCCTAGAAAAGGTGGTCTCTTACTTAACTCAGATGATTTCCCCTTTTCTTGGGCGGGGAGGGGAGTAAAGAAACAGAAACTTCATGCCTCAAGGATAAAAGGGTAGGAGGAACAAATCAAACCTGTTCCAAGTAGAGGATCCCCAACGTAAGGCAAAGTGAAAGCAGTTGCTTAAGGAAGTCAGGGGAATTCCTCAGTTTCGTGCGGGGAAGGGGGGCGGGATTGATTTGTTTGTTTAGTTTGAGATGGGGTCTCACAGTAGTTCCCCACTCCCACCTCTCAGAATTAAGTAAACCTAGTGGTTTTGCAATAGTGTCAAGGTTTACACCGTGAGGAGGCCCCTGACTTGCCACGGATCCTTATCCTGCAGTTTCAGCAGGCGAATGCTTCACCATCCCAATCCTGGCTGTCTTGGCCTTCCCTACTATGATTGCGATGTCTGATGTCTCGGAAGCCACCTGGGAGGGGGTCTGTACTTGCATCGAGAGACGGGATTTCGGCAACCCACATATATAATGCTTCAATGAGAAAATAGGTTTTTTTTTTCTAAATAGGTTATCATGCAGAAACTGTCTCCAACGCAACAGGCTTTATTCCCACAATACTTATGCATTTATGCAATGCTCAAACGAATTCTTAGAAATAACTTGAGCTTTCTATGCTTAAGAGTTTCCTTTGGTCATCATATTCCCCAAACTCCCAGCACATAACTCTCACGTAGGCAATGGGGGGAGGGGTGACTCCCCTACACCACTGACACCACTGACAGAGCGGTCCACAGGTTCATTGCATTTGCCTAACACCAAATCACAACGTGCTTTTTTTGAAACACAAGATGCCCCAGGTAAAGTTGATGCTCGTTAGAGGTGGGGGGGGGGGGGGCACTGTCTCAGAAGTTTACTGCATACAAACGCACTTTCCACGCCAGCGTGGGAGCAGTCGGGGCGCGCACTCCTGCACAGAGCCAGGGTGCGGTCCAGACACCTGCAAAGCCGGGGCGGCCCTGCGCAGCCCCCTTCCCCGCCGCCATCCGCTCACCTTGATGCGCTCGCCGTCGATCTCCACGGCTCGCTCTCGGAAGTCCACTCCGATGGTGGCCTCGGTGCGGTCGGGGAAGCGGCCGGCGCAGAAGCGGTAAGTCAGGCACGTCTTGCCCACGTTCGAGTCGCCGATCACGATGATCTTGAAGATGCGGGAGCGGGCGGGAGGCAGACACCCGGACGCCCCTGACACCGCACAGCTGGACGAGAAGCTGACCTCCAGCGACGACTCCACCTCCGAAGCCATCCTCCCGACTCTCTCCGAGCTGAGGCGGAGGAGAGGAGCCTCGGGTTCAGCGCCACCTCAGCGACAGCGCTCCCGGGCAGCGCTACAGCACAGCGGGCTCCCCGAGGACCCGCAGCGCGCGTGCGCGAGCCCCGCCCGCCCCTGCCCCCCTCCCAGGTGTGGCGCCCCGCTCCGGTCTTCTACGCCCCGCCGGCGTGGTGTATCCGGAAAGAGCGGTCGGCGCTCCCTGGCCGGACCGCAGCACCGAAGGGCCGCCTGGGGGAGCCGCTGTGTGCGGCACTCCGGATTTGGACCCGCCCCGCCACGTCCGCTGTCCCCTGCTCCGGAGGAAGCGGCGCAGCTCCTCAGGGGCGGGGAGAGAGACAGCGGGGAGGAAGGAGATGTGGCCGGGATGCTGTCTCGCGAGAGGCCACCCGGCAGAGCGCTTGCCGCCTCCTCCAGACTCCAGCCACAGCGGAGCGGAACCGCGTGGGCCGGAGAGTGTGAGGCTGCTCACCCGCTGGACCCCATCCTTTTCCAGCGCCGCCACGGCCCCTTGAAGTTATCCTCGGAGCTTGGCGCCCAAGGCTTCTTTGCTTTAAATATTCCCCCATCCCGTAGAGGAGATCACTGTGGGACTCTTGAGAAACCCAAACCCTTTACGCAGCTGGGCGTGGCGGTCCACGTTAGAATGCCTGCTGGAGGGAGCTGAGGAAGAAGGATGGAAAGTCGGAGCTCTCGGGGTTGGCTTTTAATGCCAGCTCTCAGGAGGCAGAGGCAGGAGAATCTCTGAGTTCAGGGCCTGCCTGGGCTACGTTGCGAGCTCCAACACAGCCAAGAGCTTTTGTTTTGGTTTGTTTTTGATTTTTCAAGAAAGGGTTTCTCTGTAGCTTTGGAGCCTGTCCTGGAACTAGCTCTTGTAGATCAGACTGGCCTCGAACTCACAGAGATCCGCCTGCCTTTGTCTCCCAAGTGCTGGGATTAAAGACATGCACCATCACCGCCTGGCCAGCCAAGGCTTTTAACAGGCCCCTCAGACCTTAGTAGCCCCCCACACCTTTCTTAGCACAGCTGACACCATAATTGAAGTACCATTCAGGCCTTGGAACCCAGCAGCACTTGGACAGCAACATCTGCCAGAGAGAGAGAGAACAAAATCCTAATTCATAGTTCTGGGAAAGTCTCCAATGTAGTAACCTTACTTTTTTGGCTTCTGTGGTTCTGCTTCTGGCTAACTGGTCTTTTTAAATGAAGTATGTCAACCCAGGATGTGTGTGTGTGTGTGTGTGTGTGTGTGTGTGTGTGTGTGATTAAAAACTCACCCTGAGAAAGGCTTGGGACTGCACCCAGGTCCCAAATGAAAACTTCTATTTGCTTGAACCCATGCATGTCCAATCGATCTTCTCTGGTGGATACCTCAGAACAAGACTATAGAGACCCTGTCTTCAAAAGCAAACATGGTTAGGGATGTAGCTCATTTGGTGAATGCTTTACTGCATATAAGAAACCCAGTTTCAGATCCCACCATCATAAAAAAAACAAACGTACTCAAAGAGTTGACAATCTAGCTTGTCCTGGTGGCAGAAAAACAGCTAGAAGTAGAAAGGAATTGCCTAATGATGAAAGGCTGAATTTAGTAGGTGTTATTCTTTTTTAAAAAAATGCTGCAAGATCCCAGCGGCAGTAGGCAGCAGAAATGTTGTAGGTCCCAAATGGTGGCGGCGGGCCATGTGGTGGCAGGCACCGGGCCCTGGGAGCAGCCAGTCCCAGGCAGAGACGGCTGCTGGTCCCAGAGCAGTGGTGGCAGGCCATGTGGCAGCAGGCAGTGGGCCCCAGGCAGAGACGGCTGCTGGTCCTCGAGCAATGGCTGGTCCCAGGCAGGGAGACACATGGCAGGCGGGCAGAAAACAGAAACATGGATAGACACGACATGCAGGGTGAGGTTGAATGTTTATTCAGGGGGTTATGGAGGAGGAAGGTTGAAGCGGGGGACAGAGAGAGAGAGAGAGAGAGAGAGAGAGAGGAGAAAGAGACAGAGAAGGGGGAAGCAGAGAAGTGGGGAGAGAGGCAGAAGTGAAGCTGCCTCTCCGAGAGGAAGATAGAAAAGAGAGGACAAGGGGGCTCAGTGGTTAAGAGCATTGCCTGCTCTTCCAAAGGTCCTGAGTTCAATTCCCAGCAACCACATGGTGGCTCACAACCATCTGTAAAGACGTCTGGCGCCCTCAACTGGCCTTCAGGCATACAGACAGAATATTGTATACATAATAAGTAAATAAATATTTAAAAAAAAAAAAAAGAAAAAGAAAAGAGAGGACAGCTCAGGCCGGAAGCTGAAGATCAGCCTGCCTCAGCGGATGGGGAGGGGAATGGGTGTGGCTTGTCTCTTAAAGGGACCAAAGCCATAACAGTAGGAAGAATAAATTTGTTTGAAACTAATAAAATGTATTTTATGTGCATCGGTGTTTTGCCTGCATGTATGTCTGGGTAAGGGTATCAGATCCATGGAAGAGAAGTTACAAACAGTTGTGAGTTGCCATTTGGGTGCTGGGAATTGAACCCTGAGACTCTGGAAGAACAAGTCAGGGCTCTTACCCCACAGAGCCATCTCTGTAGTTTTATCTCAGCTCCTTTCTAATTGTGACCAGTACAGTAGTAGATGTCTATCCACCCACCTCCTGTCTAGTGCTGAGGGACTCAAACCAACAGCTGAACCATGAATACAGATTTTAAGTATTCTAAGCAAATTGTGTTAATAGAAGATTAAATGTGTGTTAGAATAAGCTGGTGAAGGAAACGTCTAGAAAAGTTAATGATATAGGGGCCTTGGTGACAAGAATTTGGAAGGGTCAAAACAAATTAAGAAGAGTGGGAAGTTAGATTAGATTAGATGCGATTAAAGTTCTATAAAATAGTTCTAGGTGTGGGTGTGTACCTGAAGAACAGCACTAGGGCAACTGAGGCAAGAGGATAATAAATTCAAGACCAGCATGGGCTACATACTTTCAGTTCAGCCTCAGATATACAGCCAGACCCTAACTGACCATGTCACAAATAAATATAAATGGATTTTTTTTTTGAGACAGAACCTCTATGTAGCTCTTGGAACTCACTCAGTAGACCAGGCTGGCCTTGAAGTCCCAGAGATCCTCCTGCCTCTGCCTCCCAAATGCTGGGATTAAAAGGTATGCTGCCCACCCAGCTAAAAACCTTTTCTTTAAAAAAAAAAAAAAGGCCAGGCGGTGGTGATACTTGCCTTTAATCTCAGCACTCTGGAGGCAGATGCAGGCGGATCTCTGTGAGTTTGAGGCCAGCCTGGTCTACAAGAGCTAGTTCCAAGGTAGGCTCCAAAGCTACAGAGAAACCCTGTCTCAAAAAAACAAAAACAAAAAAACAAAAAAAAGTGGGCTTTGCCTAGGCATTCTAATTCTGAAAACATTACTAGATATGCAGCTAGATAAAATAGCAAAGTTTTTTGAATCATATGTGCATATAGATAAAATAGCAAAGATTTAAAAAATCATATCGGCAATGCCAAGACAGTGGTAGAACATATGCTTGGCATATAAAAGGCATGGAGTTGAATATATTGTGTCAAAAGAAGAAAAAAATCTGATAAAGTTTGTCAGCCAAACTAGGTGGCACATAGCTAGAAACCCACATCCTCGGAGAATAAGGCAGGAGGAGTCTAAGTTCAAAGTCAACCTGCTGAATTTAGCAAGATATGCTCTCAAATAAACAAACAGTATACCTAACAGTGTTGGCATAATAACCTAATTATACTAATAAGTATACCTAATGTGTCTACATAATGTTAAATAAAAACTCGACATAAGGGCTGGAGAGATGGCTCAGTGGTTAAGAGCATTGCCTGCTCTTCCAAAGGTCCTGAGTTCAATTCCCAGCAACCACATGGTGGCTCCCAACCATCTGTAATGAGGTCTGGTGCCCTCTTCTGGCCTGAAGGCATACATGTAGACAGACTATTATATACATAGTAAATAAATAAATATTTAAAAAAAAAACAAACCTCGACATATATGTGAAGAAAATGTTGAAATGCCAACACAGAGCCAGGACGTAGCTCAGTGGTAAAGCACTGCCCTTACAACGCCCTGCATTTGATCCCCAATATTGAAGAAAATGTCTTAAAAATGTCAACGGTCTCAGAGTAACATTTATGAATGACTAAACTTGCTTTTTTTTTTTTTACAGTGGACTTACATAGTAGAGAGAAAGATTTCTCCAAAATAGGAATAGAATGGCTGCTAAGCCTTCCACTTACACCCTCTGGTGGCTACACGGGTTGGATGTTCTGTTCTTCCCACCGCCATCTTTAGACTTGTAAAGTAATATCGCCCTGAATGGTAGAGCAGAAGTTTCTGTCCCGCCCAGTCCCACAATCATTCAGTCCCAACGAAACACACAGAGGATGTTATTAATTATAAACTGTTTGGCCTGTTAGCTCAAGCTTATTATTAACTAGTTCTTACAACTCAAATTAACTCATATATATATATATATATATATATATATATATATATACACACACACACACACACACACACACACATATATATATGTTTTGGTTTTTTGAGAAAAGGTTTCTCTGTAGCTTTGGAGCCTGCCCTGGAACTAGCTTTTGTAGACCAGGCTGGCCTCGAACTCACAGAGATCCACTTGCCTCTGCCTCCTGAATGCTGGGATTAAAGGCGTGCACCACCACTGCCCAGCTTAACCTATGATTCTTATCTATACTTAGCCACGTGGTTTGGTACCTTTCTCAATGCAGCATTCTCATCTTCCTTTCTCTGCATCTGGGTGGTGACTACAGACTGAGCCTTGCCTCTTCCCAGAATTCTCCTAGTCTGGTCACCCCACCTATACTTCCTGCCTGGGTACTGGCCAATCAGCATTTTATTGGTTTCCCAATATGAGTGACAAATCTTTACAGGGTACAAGAGCATTATCCCACAGTATTTCCCTTTTGTCTTATCAAAACAAGAACTCTGAATCTAATCTCCTTTGTTTAGCTTTTTTCCTGACCATTATCCATAAAAAGTTTTAACCAACACTCTAAATAAAGTCGGGCATCCATGATCTACTTTTTGAGAATTTGGGTGTTTTCTTCTAACTGCTTCCTGCTGTTTGTTGGGCAAAGTATTTTTAGGGGTCACAGAAACCTTTCAG